GTCAATTATCTGCTGACTATAGTAACTTTTCCTTTGAGTTATGTAGAAGGTAGATGTTGTTGTAAGTCTACATTGCAAAGAAGCCAACTGACTTTTTAGTGTCTTGCTTAACCTCCTGACTTAATTATCTCTGGATTACATACACAAGCATGTAATTTTGAAAACCAGTATGTCTTTGAAAAGAAAACCCACAACTGAAAATTTTACTATTATGCTCAAAGGCAGCTTTTCTATTTTTGCTTTTACTTTACCCTTAAGTAAATGATAGTTCCCAGCCCACCCCCCCCTGCATTATTGTGGTTCTCTCCCAAATCCAAACCTGCTGTATACTTTAGTAGTACAAATTTTCATATCAAATCTGGGAAAAATGGAAAAAAAACTCTGATGTAAGTGTTCCCCTGCTGTACAGCCATTATAATTTTACTTGCCCAAATATTAATCAATGCTAGGGTATAATCTATAACTTTGAATTAGCACTGAACAAGCTTCTGACCATCCTACCATTAATTTAAATAAATGAGTTGTGAAGATGGCATAACTCATTAGAAAATGTGATTCAAATACCCACAGGCACCCAACAAAGTTTGGCGTTGGATATTAAAAACCATGAAATACACTTAATTTATTTGAATTGGAAATATAAACCCAATATTTGCTCAGCAGGCCAGTTAACTTCTTTACATTGGTTGGAAAGTTGATTTCTATGTTATGAATACAAATCAACTATTCAATAGTCTGACCTTGAGTAAGACATTTAAGCTACTAAGAGCTTAGTTTCCTCTATTGTAAAATACAAGGGCTGAAAATGATTAATTTCTAAGTATATTACACTGAAAGATGAAGTCTGACTTGGTTTTAAATGGAGATTAAGCTTTATATTATTAAAACATAGAGCATCAGTAGCTTCATACCTTCAATGAAAGAAAATCCAGTTTTGCCAATTCATTACTCGTGCAAAGCTATCACAACATAATTAGGCCACAAACCAAAAACTCACTGCCATGTAGTTGACTCTGACTCACAGTGACCCTCCAGAACATGGTAGAACTGCCCCTGTGGGTTGCTGAGACTGTAACTCTTTGTGGGAGTAGAAATCCTCATCTTTCTCCCGAGGAGTGGGTGGTGGTTTCGAACTGCTGGCCTTGAGGTTAGCAGCCCAACATGTAACCACTACACCACCAGGGCTCCTAGTTGGTATATACAGTTAGTACTTAATTTGTGTTTCCTACCCTATCATTTCTGCTCCTAACGTCTATGATCCCATGAGGATGAAATGGGTGATCCAGACACTTGTTTTAATGGGATAGAAAAGCACAACAAAACCATCGTGTAGTGAATCACTAGTGGGTTAACGCTTTTAGAAAATTCTATTCATAAAAGGAGGCCTCTGCAATGACTGTAAAATTCAAAGCATGGATTTAATGATAAACAAGAGGCAAGATCAATTCGAGTTTTAAATAAAAAAAATGCAAATCTTAAATCTAGTGCTAGTAACATAGAGAAATTTCCTCGCAGACGTTCTTCAAAGCTCATGTTTGGCTATCGGTGTACCGAAATGTACAGCTGGCTTTCCAGCTCCTCAGTATGCCTTAGTCTGAGCGATGTAAAGTCCGTGGAGCAAATAATGCTAGGCAATCACTTGCCAAAATCTTATATTCCTAACAGTGATTAGACTGCTCCTGAAGAGAAATAGCCTGGCTCCAAGAATCTGAGGGCCCACTGTGAGTCCAGGGCTTATAAAACAGGTGAAGGTTACCTGATCAAAGCAATATCGTCAATCAGTCCACCTTTCCCATTATACACACTGGTGGCCTTAATGCCAAGCTTACTGCTGGCCACAGAGAGCAAATCAGATAAAGTTCCATATACAGCAACCACCTGCAAAACACGGGAAAACATGCATAAATGAATTTCAGCGCCCATAAGTGACTAACCATTATTCTATGAGATGAAACACCCAAGTCATCAAGTCACCGGAATTTTCAAGCAGCTCTTAACAAGTTCTTTTGTCTAGGACTCAAAGGTCTACTTGCTGCCGAATACTTGGAAATTCCAGACTAGAGAAAAAGTCATTTCTGACCAAAATTAGTCTACAATCTTATGGTATGTTAACTCTGCTACAGTTCTGAAGTTAAGAGACCAGGATTTAATCAGGATCCTAACATTTTAAAGTTTCTGATTAAGCCCAATTAACCTCTTTATGCTTCTGCTGCCCTATCGATGTGAACAGGAGCACTGACATCAGATAGTGATTGAGGATGAAATGGAGTTAATAGATGAAAAAACCCAAAACCAAACCCACTGCCATCAGGTTGGTGCTGACTCACGGAGACTATAGGACAGGCAGAACTGCCCCATAGGGTTTCCAGTAATCTTCCAGTAATCGAATCTTCACAGCACAGACTGCTCCATCGTTCTCTCTCAGAACAACTGGTGGACAGAAACGTTCAGTTGGCGGCTCAGTGCCTGACCATGGTGCCCCCAGGGCTCCGCGAAGCCAAAGAGCTCCACAAAGTACTGGAAACCTATTGTCCTTATTAGGTTGGTTTTGACCTATTCTTTTGTTACAAGAGTGGCTTGGTTTATAAACAAGAATGATTTGCTGTCATGTATTTTAGCATTTACTACATTAACTACTATATATGAAATGGTAGCAACCACCCACCTCATGTAATTCTTCAATAACGACTCCTAAAAGTCAGATGTGACATTCTAAAATTAGCAACGCCTGCTCTGAATCATGCATGATATAATGCTATAAGTGCAAGAGGTACATATGCATATACAATATATATGCAACTGCTATGTATGGGAATGCGAGTCCTGCATTGTGTGCTCTGGCCATAATTGGAACTATGGGTTTTCAATCACTGAGGTGTACCATTATCATTCAAACTCTAGAAAGCTAGGGACAAAAGTAGGCACGGAGCTGGACATGAAGTGTGAACAGCTCATTGACTTCCCATGGGATATCATACAAAGGTGCCATGTGAAATAATGCCCAGGGCTGGTCCTTTTCAGTGACCAGTAGAAAATAACAAACCCGTGTTAGTTAAATAAACAAGATAGGCCTGTCAGGATGAAGGCCAGAGTGTGGTATCATTGACAGGAGAGCCGGGGCACTTGGGGGAGGACTGTGGCAAGCACACTTCAAAGGAGACCAGATGGACCGAGTATAAGAAATAATAGAGAAAGAAATAATGGAAAGCACTTGGCACATTGTTCACATGCCACACATGACTGAAGCCTAAATAAAATATGCCCTCATCTTTCCACTCTGCCACAGAGCCTGGGACTGTACGGATCAAAGGAAGAGAAATAGAATGCATAGGGCATTACGCAGAGCATGCCTGGTGGTGTCGAGCCGAAGAAGGGAGAGAAAAGAGAGCAAAAACATGAAGGCGCAGGAGCTAGATCACTGCATTGACTCACTCTGACGACAAGCAACGCTGTGGAGGGTTTCTGAGGCTGCTAAGCTTAACGGGAGCAATGAGCCTCATCTCTTGTCTGCAGAGCAGCTGGTGCGTTTCAATCGCCCACCTCCGGGTTAGCAGGGCCACTCTTCCCCAACAGTGCCACCAGGGCTCTCTGGAGACGGACCAGCGTGGTGCACAGACTCTTACCATCCACAAAGTGCTGGGAGGGAAGGATGGACCTCTGGCATTCTCGCCACAGATGCGACGACATCAAAAATGGCCTAAATATTTCTTTCTCCCCTTCTGTACCTCCACCTCTTATCATTACATAGCTTGATTATCTGACCCCGCAGAACCTCAGTTTCCTCCCCTAGCATTTCTTTTCACTCTTCTTGTTTACTTGGTCATAACAGAACATGGATTTTTTTCACTATGTCTACATTATACTCTGATACTTAATTGAAATGTTGAGTTTAACATTTTATATGACTTATTTTTTCCAAAAAATACAACAAGCAGCATTTCCCAGACCAAGTAAGCAAAGACATGAGCACCAGGACGGTACTGAGGCCAGCTCCCTGCAGCACTATGGCTGCAGCACCAGGCTCAGGGCCTCACGTTCAGAAGGTGCTGCTTGGCTGAATGAGTCAGGTAGAAGAGGGCATGGCTCATTACTGAGATTCTGAAGTCAAGGTCAGGAAATAGAGCGGATTACGTTCAAGCCAAAAAGAAGCCTGGACTAGACTGATAGCAAGTTGCTGCAAAGCCACCTAATAAATTCAGATGGCAGACTCCTTATTTCAGTTTCCTTAAAACAAGCTCTTATGGGTCTATGTCACTTTGGGGTGCTGATAATCAAAACCTGACTTGAAAGCACCTAACAACAAGAAATATTAAAAAGAGCAATAGGCATTCTGGGCTACTTGATGAAAGGTATATGCTTCATTTATTTTTATTGGAGCAGTGTAAAACTTTTAAATAATTGAAGGCCCATTCCCTATTTTTAGAACAATGGCTTCCAAATGTTTCATCAATAAAACATTTCTGGATATGTGTTCAAAAACTGTACATGTGCTTATTTAATAAACTATATACCATGGTGTGAAAGAACAGAGCATGGGGGCTTTTATCGATTTTGACTGAGTCTGCCAATAAAAAGCTTCTAAATATTTACTAAATTTAGAATAGTACAAGATCAATTCTTAATACTGAGAGAAAAAATATATATATATAAAAGGAAAATCTGAAGCTGTTTGTCTTTATGGACAGGAAAACATTTTAAAATGTCTTGGTAACTGGGATAAATATTCCCTATTTAAATTAGTTAGTATTTAAAGAATAATATATATACATACTACGCAGATTATTGTTAATAAAAATTCACTGCCATCCGGTCAATTCTGGCTCTCAGCAAACCTATAGGGCAGAGGAGAACTGCCCTTGTGGGTTTCTGGGACAGCAGCTCTTCATGGGAATAGAAGCACTCATCTTAAATCCACCAAGCTACTGATGGGTTTGAACTTCAGACTTTTCTGCTAGAGCAGGCTGATGCCTAACTCACCATGCCACCTGAATTTCTTTTTTTTATTTTATTAATAAATCATTTTATTGGGGGCACTTACCACAGTCCATCCATCCATCCATCCATCCATCCATTTTGTCAAGCACATTTGTACATATGTTGCCATCATTTTCAAAACATTTTCTTTCTGCTTGAGCCCTTGGTATCCCCCCCTCATGGACCCACAATAAATTATAAATTATTATTTTCATCTCTTACACTGTCCACTGTCTTCCCTCAACCACATTTCTGTTGTTTATCCCCACAACCTGGAGTTATACGGCAACCACTGTAGTCATTCTCCATTTCTCCCCCCTCATGGTTTTGCTACTTCCATTACTGTAACTGAGGGGTTTATCTGTCCTGGATTCCATGTGTTGAGAGCTCTTATCTGTACCAGTGTACATGCTCAGGTCTAGCCGGATTTGTAAGGTAGAATTGGGGTCATGATAATGGGGGTGAGGAAGCATTAAAGAACGAGAGGAATGTTGTGTGTACCGTCAGTGACACCTGGACTTATTACTAATTGTTAATAACTGAGATTAAAAAAGATTCCAATTAGATCTGGCATTTTTTGACTGTCTCATATCTAAAGACATCCAGTTTTGTTGTTGTTGTTGCTGTTGTTTTGTTTTTAAAGCTAAGTTTATATTAAGAGTAGAAGTGTTGTCATTTTGCTGTTTATTTGAGCTTGCCTGATTAACACTGTGACCAACTGGCAATTCATTGAAGGAATCTTTTAAAGCTATTTGACCTTTTGGTGAGTGGGGTGGGGGTTAGTTAAAACTGGATAATAGAAAGTTTAACCTAGCACTTGCTAACCTCAATACATCACAATGCTATCAACTCTTTCACATTAACACCTTCCTTTCTTTTAGAATATTTGTGACCACTTGACACATGCAGTGATTAGAGGCACTAGATAAGAAAAAAACCCTATTATTTTATAAGTAAAACATTTAAACAATACAAGGGATGGGTGTATGGATTGTGATAAGAGTTGTATGAGCCCCTCAATAAAATGATTTAAAAAGCAAACAAACATTTCAACAAAAGGTATAGTCTCAAATAGAATGTTAATGTTTAGAAAATAATGATGGCAACATATGTACAAATAGGTTTAATACAATTGACGTATGGATTGTTATAAGAGCTTTAAGAGCCCCCAATAAAGTGATCTTAAAAAAAAAAAGGTATAGTATTTCTTCTGAAAGTGATATTTTTCACCCTTCAATGGTGTTACCATCTCATTCTCCAACCTCAGAACATTCATGAAGCTCCACTCAGATGTACTCATGGTGAGCATCTATTCTAAAGTTTCAGGCAGTCTGGGCCGCCAGGCTTCATGGCCCGATCTGGTAACCAGTAAACAAGCATTATGGGAAGAGAACATTTTAGGGGCAAAAAACCCAGTGTTATGGATATGGATCCGAAACAATAGAAACGAATAAGGATATAATGATAATGCCACTGATATTACAACTGGTAGAGGTTATCAAACTCTATTTTATAGTAGCATTTTGTTTCAGCATGTTCTTAAGAAACATTCATGTCATGATCTTAAGAAATACTTATGTTGAGATACTGCCAATCCTAGCTAAATATATATTTAAAATATTTTATAGTTTTATAACATCTAATATTGTTGTTAGTTGCTGTTGAGTCAGTTCCAGTTCAGAGTAACCCCTTGTGTGCAAGGTCGAACTGCTCCCTAAGGTTTGTAAGACTGTGACCCCTTGGAAGCAGATCGCCAGGCCTAACATCTGCGGCACCTCTGGGCGCATCTGAACCTCCAGCCTTTCAGTTAGTTTACTATTATTAACTGAACACTTAAGCACACAAGGACTCATTATGGTTTCAGAAATTTCATGGAAGAACACAATTAAAAGAGAATGAAAATTTTCCACCTTTTTGAAAAATTTTGTGTGTGTATTTGCTATGCCCTATTTTATTGTTTAATAAGAGTAATTATAATACTATTTGCTGATTAGCTTAAGGGAGATGAGAGAAAACATTGACAATTTTTACTATTTGGAGAAAAGATTTCTTAGAATATGTTCTCTGGTAGGAATATGGCATGGCTGATTTTTAATACTGAATTACACTACCAAACCCCAGTTTATATCTGAATAATCTTTGCAATATATTTATTTTTAATTACTTGATAGGCATTTCTCTAACTTCCTGAGGTTTTCAAGTAACTATTTTCAAAGTAGAGAATTTAAATAAAAAAATGTAGCCTAGTTAAACCTAGATAACTTAAAAAAAAAATCCTTATTGTAAATATGAAAAACCCAAACCAGCCAGTCTTTAGCAATAAAATCCAGTGGTTTCAGGAGAGATTTAGACCATAGTTAAATATTTATAACTGGTCTTAATATCTTTCATGTGGCGGCATAAGAGATGTTGGATAAAATAGGTCAAGTACAGATCTGCTTTTGAGAAAATAAAATAATTGTATATATACTCTTGGATCTTCCCTCTAGGGACAGATGATTCAGAGTAGTAACTAACCAAAAAACAGATTGAGAAAGAAGTAAATGGTTAGGAATACTGTTAATCCTGTGAAAAGTATTTTGAGTATCATTTATGAAAACTCAGAAACTTGTATTCATGCCATATCTGTTTTTGTACGAGTATTACATCTCTACGAAGAAACCGGAAGAAACCAAAATGAAACGCTGCAAACCACACTGTGGATCAGGTCGTGAGCATATTTACTCAAACTTGCAGAGTAACGGGAAAGCCATTTTTATGCTGTTGCCAAACTTCACTTAAAATTTAGAATATGCAAACTATGCAGGAAGCGAGGTCTCTTAGGGAGTCATCTCAGTCAGGCCAATTTACCTTTACCTTAGAACCTGAGGCCTAGCCACGTCTACAATTTAGCCAGACAATACATTACCTGGTACAGTCAAATTTTCCTAAGAATCTGAATAACTTTTCTGGGTGGGGCTAGTGGCCAAGTAGAAACAGGATTCATTTTAGCTTGTTCTAATGTTGGAAAAATATTTAGGACCACACCCTCGGCAAAGGCCTAAGCCACAGCAAATAGTACTGTCAAGTCAGTCTATCCTGGTCTCTTGTCTTCCAAGGAACTAAAAACAAAGCGAAAATAATAAGAAGAGTATAGAAGTTTGACAGTGGTGGGGCTGAGGGATACTTAAAAGAGCAGAGTAAGAAATCAAAAATAATTTTCAATCATCTATTGTACTATGAATAGTATAATGTTTTATGTCCACTGATTAGAGTTTATTTTATTACTATTTTTAGCCTGATCAGTCTTCCAGTACCTTAATGATCGCTACCACTTTCGCGGGCAGACCATTACTCAGCAAGAAGGTGGGGAGCGGTGTCTCGGGAGAAGGTGGGAACAGAAACAGCAGCATCGAGGGCTCAGGTGACAGTGGCCCGCCCTCCCCACGCCCTGCAGCCCCTCTGGCCCGGACCCTCAACCCCAGATCGGGGAACCAAGGACCCCAAGTGCGACCTATGCTGCTCCCCAGGGCGCTGAGGAATTGAAGGGCAGGTTCGGGCAAGGCATCTCCAGGATCCGCAGGAGGCCGCGGGAACCCCAGATTCCAGTCCCGGACTCCCCCACGTCCGGCGCACGCCCACCTCCCGGAGCCTCTTCCCAACTTCAGCCCTCTGCCCTGGGCTCGCTGCCCTAGGAGCTCCGTCCGTTCTCCTCTGCCCTCGCCCCCCGGAGGCGGCCCGCCTCACCTCCTCCCGACCCCCTTACCTTTCCATTCTTGGGGCTGCCGTTAAGGAACAGGGTCACCCGCCTCATCGCGCTGCCCCCACCGGGTCCTGAAGGTGCCGCCACCCTCCCACCTTTTTCTCCGCCCACCTTTTTCTCCTCCCGCCCTTCCCCTCCCTCCACCCACTCGGCCTCTCCTCCCTTCGCCACCTTCCTTCTCTTACTCACAGACAAACACACACTCGCCGTCCCACACCCCGGGGTTGGCGGGTCCTCCTTCCCACCCCGCCCCTAAGCGCCTCAGCCTGCCTACGGCCCCTCCCCCACGACATACAGACTGACTCTAATTTTCACCAATCAGCGGGCAGGGATGGCCAGCATTTAACCAATCACCGCCCGGCACTGGGTGGGCTCAGACGGGGTGGGGGGGAGAGAAGAGAGGTTGTAGACAGGAAGGGTTATCAGCCAATTAGAGCTGAACCTGGAGTCGAACGGCGGCTCGAAGCATTACTGGGCAGGCGCACAACTAATACTAGGCCACACAAGAGGAGCTCATCTGCATATGGAGGCGGGGTTTAAGGGAAGAGGAGGAGCCCTAGGAGTGACCTCCACAAGGCCGCGCCTTCTCATTCTAACTCTTCACAGCCACCCAACCCAGCAGGGGTGAAAACGGCTGCAGCTAGGGACTGGCTGATTGGCTGAGAGTCACCGGCCGTTCTGTCGTGATTGGTCCAATGGTTCTTTTCGAAGTTTGCAGCATCCGACCGATTGGTGGAAGGCGGAACTCTAAAATCAACTGAAGGGTCATTCCGCTAGACGCAGACGGAAAGTAGTTCCCTAAACAGGTCAGAAGGTAGGTTTTTCTGGTTAACGGGTCCCCCACTGCTAGGGGTGGCCCCTCTCTCAGCCCAGGCAGCCAGTCCTCTTCCCGGAATGCCAGGTGGTGGCCTGGGAGACGCGAGCGGACACGTGCGGGCGGCGCGGGCGTAGAGATCTGCGGGCACGACGCTCTGACGGGAGGAGGCGGGGCCGGCCATTTGAATCCAGCGGCGGGCAGCGTGCGCCTGGGCGCCGCTGAGCGGGGGGGCGACGCGGGCCGGCGGGCTCGGGGTGCCGGGCGGCCCGCGGCGGACAGGGACCTGAGAGAAGAGCGGAGCACCCGTTCGCGAGCCCATGGCGGCCCGTCTAGCGAGCTACGGTTGATGCCTCACGCCGAAACTTCCCGACGATCTAGGCGTCTGGAACCCTCCAGAGGTAAGAAGGGACGTCGTGTGGCGCCCTCACCCCAGTTTTGCGGTCCCTAACTGAGATTTCCAGATAAGCGGAGATAGGAAAGCAGAGTTGCAGGAGTGAGGGGTAGGACAAGTGTCCTGGTCTGGCTGTAGGATATTGCCAGGTGTGTCCTGCCCGTAGGAGGCCGAGGTCCTCGTACAACCCAATATGGTTCGCCTGAGACTTGAAAAATTGCAGAATCTTGGACCTATCTCGAGCCACCGAGTCGGAATTGTGAGACTCCAGAAAGCTGCACTTTAAACAGGTTGTCCATATGATCAAGGTGTTGCCTAGTAGGGGCGTGAACTGCCGATGGGGCTGCGACGGTCTGGGGTGGTCTGGATTTCCTCCTGCACAGCAGTTAACCCCGTTTCCTTCCTGTGCACAACAAAAGGACTCTTCTGACATCTCTGCTCCAACAGCTTTTAGATTGGATTAGAATTCAGCCCTGAATGAAGTTCTTGACAGACTCACAGTAATCTAGGAGGTGCGGTTTCTGTTTTCTTCTTTCCCTTCAGATGGATTCCCATTCCAAAGTCATGGAGCCCCTAGAAACCAAGGATGAGGAACCTGCTGTTCACAACTCTGGTATGTAACGATCTGTTGCGATCACGAAATTTCTTTTGAAAATGAAAGTGTGGAGATTGTGCTTGATAAATGATGATAAGCTCCAACAATATATGATTATGGTCTGCCTATTTCAGAAAATGCCTCTTCCATTTTGACAAATGGGATGCTTGTAACTCCTCAGAAACCTGCCACCGAAGCGACTCCTAATCGTTGTGAGACACCTGTATTTAAATCACCACTAAACTTTTCTACTGTAACCGTAGAGCAATTGGGAATTACACCGGAAAGCTTTGTTAAAAACTCTTCAGGTAAGACACGTTGTTTTTAACATTTGAACACAACCCTAATATACTTCAGTTTTACTCATCTACCCTCTAGCTTTTCCTATTTTTTGTATCTAACATATGGCCAGTTTGCTTGTTCCAGGTGTCCTTTGTGCACCTGCCAAACTCAGCAGGACACCAGGGCAGCCAGTGTAATGTACCTGTTAGAGTGGTGTGGCATACTTAGCCCAGAAAGAACTGTGATATGTATATAAAGGGGGGTGGATTGTTCAAACCGCAACACGCTTTTTGATTAACTCTGCCATCCAGTCAATTCTGATTCATAGCAACCCCAAAAGACCGGGTAGAACTGCCATTAAAGGGAATAGAAAGCCTCATTTTTCTTCAGTGGAGCATCTGGTTTCAGACGGTTTTATGTTGTGGAATGGCAAGTGTACTGGAAAGTTGATGAAAATTAGGGAAACATAATAAGGAAATTTTGGACTGCTTACTGAAAGGTCGGTTGTTGGTACCCGTCAGCTTCTCCACTGAAAAGAGATGAGGACGTGTGCTTCTGTAGAGTGTTACAAGCCTCATGTATCCTATGCGGCACTTCTGCTCTGTCTTCTAGGGTAGCTTTGAGTTAACTTGACTCAAGTGGGAGTTGGCTGGCTTAAGGGTTTTGTAAGGTGTTTTAGTGGTGCAACTGTACAATACTCAACTGCAAACCCAAACATCGGTGGTTTGAACCCTCCCAGTGACATAGTGCAAGCCTAGCTGTTCAAACCCACCCCCTATCCACCAGAGAAATAGAAGGCTGTCAGCTTCTCTAGATTTACAGTGTTGGAAGCCCAAAAGGGAAGTTCTACTTTGTCCTGTAGGACCAGTAGGAATTGGAATCCACTCAATGACAAGGAGCTTGGTTTGAGTTGCACTAGCTCCTTGCAGGATCTACTCCAGCTTTTTTTTTTTTTAAAGGAGACAATCTTAACATGGAATGGTTGGGTTATGCTTCTTTCAAACAGAAAGCTGACTTGGACTAAACTCTTTCAAGGAATGCAAAATCACCTGTGAAGTCTGATTTTGATAGGGAAGAAAAATTAATGGAACAGAATTGTAAAGTGGAGGCTAATGGGGGTCTTGAAAGTCAAGGTGTGCTAGGCTAGGCAACATCTGAGACATAGCCAAGCTGTTCTCGTGTCACGAAGGAAAAGCTAGCTGCTGTGCGCTTAGGCGTATGGCCAGAATTCAGGATGCTGGGCTTGTGGTAGGTATCTTAAGTGTGGTACATTGAGTTTCTTCATGTGTCTTTTGCCTTGGCTCTTAGGAATAAACCAATTAGGGAGATCTCCCAAGTTGTACTCTACCTCAGCTTGCTACTTTTTTTGCCTGAGTAGGAACTGAGCTCTGGTTGCAAAGAATATTACATTTGTGCAAGACCTAAGCTTTTGACAGCTCTTGGGTAATTAAGGATAAGTTCAAAGCCATCTGGTAAGAAAGGCTGTGCCTTGTAACCGATGAGGACTGGGATATAAAAAGGCCTGTGTCATTTGCAGGACTACATTGTTGACAAGAACTGGGAGGGAAGGGAAGCATGGCCTTGACATGGAAAACCTATGCTTAAAACTCTTCCAATTACAGTTTAAAAGGAGCCCTGGTGGTACTTTCTGGTAAGCGCTAGACTGCTAACCCCAAGGTTGGTGATTCAAACCTACCAGCCCCTCCTGCTCTCTATGGATTTACAGCTTTAGAAGCCCTATGAGTGAGAATTGATTTCCCTGGGAATTACAGTTCAAAAAGAAAGAAGAAAAACAATTGTAAGTTAGCTAACTGCTGCACTGTCTGAGCTGACTCCGTGACTGGAGCAGTACTGAGTGTAACTGGATCCACCTGCAGAGAGAGTGTGGAGAGATTGAGAACTTGGTGGTGTAGAGGCCTCTTGAGATGTATCAATATGGCCTTTCTAGCTATAATCCCTTATAGGACGAATGGTAAATTCTTGCTTCTGCCGTGACCCAACAGAATATACAAATCATAGAACTATAGCATTGATTCACATGCAAGTAAAATTTGATGAAGATCATTCCACAGGGGTTTCAGGAGTACAGTGAACCCTCGTTTATCGCGGTTAATCGGTTCTAGACCCTACCGTGATAAATGAAATTCCGCTAAGTAGGATTCCTTATTTGTAAATCAAATATTTTCGTAGTTAGAGCATAGAGGACATGAAAAAACACCCTTTAGTCACCATTACACTCGTATTACCCAATTTATTAAACGAAAAAGGGAAAATACAGTAAAACATTTTGGACGTTACAATTATCATTTATTATTTATTATATTATTTATGGCATCAAGCGTGTACAGTATGAGCCAATCAGTGGCAGTAATGACAGAGCATGCGCTGTTACGCAGAAACCGCGATAGAGTGAAGCCGTGGAAGTCGAAGCGCAAAGTGGCGAGGGTTCACTGTACCTTGACATGTTGCTACCAGAAATCTAGTCCGGGTAGACTAGAAAAACAAATCCAGAGACAGACACGTGTATAAGAAAGAGCTTTATATAAAAAAACAATTGTATATTGAGAAAACATCCCAGTCTAGTCCAGATCAAGTCCATTAGTCCAATATTAGCCCATATGTCCGATACCAATCTATAAATTCCTGTTCAGACTCTCACAACACACGTAATGCAGGAAGGTCACAGGCCAGTGGGTAGAAAGTTGTGGATCCAGTTGTGGTGGAAGCATCTCAGCACTGGCATGGGTCTCCACATGGCTCCTCCAGCTCCAGGGCTCTGGCTCCATGAGCTTAGGTCCATGTGGCTTGTCAACAGCAATGTCCAGCACAGAGACTGGAGGCAGAGTGTATCTGGCCTCCAGTGAGCTATTTATCTCCCTTGTGCCTCCAGATGAGGTCATCAAGCTGCGACCTGATTGAAAGGCTAGACTCCACCCCTTCCTCAACTTGACAGTAGATTGTGTAACTACCACAAAACTGAAAAGAGGATGTAGAACTAAAGATATCATTTCTTGGATCTTTGCAGAAAGCAGAGAATATCAGAAAGATACCTGTGTTTTATTGACTACACAAAAGTACTTGACTCTAGATCATAGCAAACTGGACAGCCATGAGAAGAATGGGAATTCCACAGCACTTCATTGTGCCCATGCAGAACCTGTACAAGGATCAAGAGGCAGTTGTGGGAAATGGACTGCATGAAATATATGGCTTAAAATCAAGAAAGGTGTTCATTAGAGTTGTATCCTCTCACCATACTTATTCAGTCTTTATACTGAGCAAGCAGCCAAAGAGGCTGGATGAAGAAGAATGCAGCCTCACGATTGGAGGAAGGCTAATAACTACTAGCATATACAGATATGACAACCTTGCTTGCTTAAAGCAAGGTGATCTTGAAGCACTTGCTGATGAAAATTAAGGATTGCAGCCATCAATATAGATTACAACTTAATGTAAAGAAAACATCCTCACAACTGGACTGATAGTTATGATAAACAGAGAAAAGATTGGAGTTGGGGTTTCATGTTGCTTGGGTCCACAATCAGTGCACATCAAAGTAGTAGTGTATTGAAGCTATGGAAGACTTCTTTACAGAGTTAAAAAGCTAAGATGTTATTTTGAAGACTAAGGTGCGCCTGATTCAAGCCATAGTATTTTTAGTCACCTCATTTGCATGTGAAAATTGGACATTGTTTTTGTATAAGGAAGACTGAAGAGTAATTATGTACTGGCAGAGAATATTGAAAGTACCATGGACTGCCAAAAGAACAAACAAGTCTGTCTCAGAAGAAGTCAGCCGGAATGCTCTTTAGAGTATTTGAGTCTATAATAAAGATTTGTTGAAGTTCTTATGAATTAGAGTATAGGAGGAATCATATTATAATTATTAAAAACCAATGATTAAAAAAAAAACCAATGATCACAGATGCGGTTATAGAATTGGTCTTATGTACTTTGGACATGTTATCAGGAGAGATCAGTCCCTGGAAAGGGACATCATGTTTAGTAAATAAGCACGATGGATTGGCATAGTGACTGTAGAAATGCATGCCAACATTGCAACTATTGTAAGAGTGGTGGAGGACCAGGTAGGGTTTAGTTGTGTCTATGTAGGGATCAGTAGGAGTTGGGACCAACTCGATGGCACCTAAGGAGCTACATGGTGTGATTATAGTTTGGAGGGAGTTTTCTGCTTTCTTAATGGACAGGATTAAGGTAAGATTTATTCTCAGTCTCCACTTTAGTAGAGAGCATGAGCCAAGTTTCCTTGGGAACATGGCCTGCTGCTGGACAAAAACCGTGTCTCCATCAAAGCCATTGTAAGAAGTCTTGGAGGCACATAATTTCCAGGGCCACCAAGAAGGAAGATCCCACAGCAGAGCACGTTTGTAATCCATATATGAAATGGCAGAGACGGAGGTAAGGAGACCAGAGAAATAGTTGATTTCTGGCTGAGGAGAGGCTCTGCTGTGGACCAAAGACTGTACTCTTACTGTTTTACGATCCTGACTTGTAACGTGTTAACTTGTCTAATGTTTGTGAGTATTGTATGTGAGTTGTGTGTCCATTGAAACATTATCCATCCCATCAGGGGGAGAAGTGGTTGGTGTGGGGATAGGGGAAGAAGGATGGAAGGTGGAGGCCTGCCTGTGGCAGTTGGCCTTCGGCAGGTGTAGCCTCCTCCCTTTTATAGCCAGTGGAGGTCAGATATGGCACCTGAGTCTTTTTCTCACCTGCCCACCAGAGTAGACAGCCAAGCCACCTGACAGAGAAGCTAAGCCAGAACAGCCTGGCAGAGAAGTCCGCAAAGGAGGCAGTTGTCCAGCAGAGACTGCCACCCTGATAGCTAGCTGAGGGTCTGAGAGCTGTTCAGCAGAGGACATACCTGCCCCTAAACTTTTTTTCTCTGAGAGCTTTCCTGGTCAGAAACCGCCCTACCGTGACGAATGGGTAGATGCACGCTCTACTTTGGGGACCCTCTCTGATCTTGCCTGTATTTTTCCTGATGCTGATCCCAAGTAGTTGCTGTTATGCTCAATGAGATTTTGATATTGCGTTGTTCTGACCAGTAAACTGCATCGTTGTGAGTATGAGTTGTGAGTGCTCTGGCCATTACAACCAATTGTCCAATCTAAAAGAGAGGATCATCTGTTTCTGGAGCTTGGTTTGACCTCTTTCTCACAGAAACCAGCTTTTTGCTGATTAAGGAAGAAAATATTTTTATTCTATGTTAGATACTATGAACGAAAACTGATTTCTTCCAAGCATAAAGAACTCTTGAAATTGCTAAAAAGATCAGGCACATGGGCAGAGTTCTTATGAAAAGGATAGGGCTCATTCCTGGTGAGGCAGGTGGCAGATTTTTAAAATTCTGTTTCTTGATAGAGCTCTCTGGAAAATCTGTCAGATTTTTTTTTAACCTCAAGGCTTAAAAGCTACCAAAGGCTGCCATCTACTCAGACGGGTTTGTTATTTATTTTAATATTATCCTGTGTGAGCCATGCATTATTTTCCTGGAAGTCATTTTGGAGAATTCAGTAGACCTGTCAACTAATGTCATGGGGATGTACAGTGTTTTCTCCTGTAACTAAAACATAGCTGGTTTGTTTAGGATATTGCTTTTCTTTCTTTACTGATATAAATAGCCCTGCATGTGCCCATGTGAGTGCCCTGTGAGAACATGGCCTAGAAGTATCTGGAAAGTAGTGGTTTTCTACATTGCTCAATTTGTTGGCTTCTTCAAATTTTCATTTCTAATGAGGTTGGGAACAAAGATCAGAGACATTTTAAGGAGGGGACGGGGGCCTGTCTTAAGTGGATTAGCGGGCAATCTGTAAAAGAAGAAAGCACAATGTAGGACAACCAAGTCTGAGAACAGCTGTGCTCAGTACCCTCCCTCTGTGGGTTCAGGTCACGCAGCCAGGCCCAGGCTCCAGCTAAGTTTCTTTAGGACTACCTACAACAACTTTGACTCTTAAACTTGTTTTGGAGTTGTTTGGGGTTTTTTTGTATTCTAAATTGATGTGGATCTGGAAGCTGGCCACGTCTCTACAGTTACAGTCCTTCCTGGAAGCTGCTGACTCGGGCCTGTCACTGACTGGAAGTAACCTGGAGTTGATCCCAATTCTTAGCAGTTAGGATTTTGGACAAGTCATTACACAATAAATCAATAGGAGAAACAAATTGTCTTGACATATTAAGAATTTGAAAGAGCACATGTGCTTAGGTGGAGTTGAGTCTTTGGGGATTTTGTTAAAACCAAAAACTCTGCCATCATGTCGATTCTGACTCATCGGGACCCTATGGCTTTCTAAGACCCCTGTGGGTCACTTTACGGGATACGAAGACCCCATCTTTTCCCCTTGGAACAGCTGGTGGTTTTGAACTGCTGACCTCACAGTTAACAGCCCAATGCATAACTATTATGCCACTAGGGCTCCTGGGGATTTTATTAGTTTTTACTGTCAGATACCCCAACTCATAGCTATCCCATGACAAAATGAAATTACTGCCCAGTCCACGGTCATCCTGATTGCTGCAGATCGATTGTGATCCACAGGGTGTTCACTGACTGATGATATTTCTTCCTAGCCTATTAGTATGAGTCAGTCTGGAAGCGCTGCTGAAATCTGTTCAGCTTCACAGCAGCATGCAGACGTCCACTGTTGATGAGTGGGTGGCTGCACACCAGGCCTGTTTCCCAGAACTCAGACTCAGGTCTACCTCAGGAAAGGCAACCGTCTGCCACTAAAACCACCACTGCCCCCTTCCTTGAGGATAAGATTAATTCATAAAAAGAAAATTTTTAGTCAAAAGAAACTGTTGCCCACATCTGCTGCAGGAGCAATGGGACAAAAATATTTTTAAATTAATTTAAATGTGTTCATGTATCTGTTCAACTACTGTTTAAGGCATGCTCTCCATGTATCTGGGATAGAGTAAATCATTTGACAAAACAAAATTTCATGTTCACTAGCTAATGTAAGAACAATTTGCTAGGCATTCTATACTTATATTTCTGTGTTGTGTATTAATCACGTTTTCTCTCAGGTTGGTACATTATGGGTAATCAGGACATGATGAATGGTGATTGCTGTAATTTAAGAGAGTTTTCATTACAGGAAAGTCATCAGCCTATCTGAAAAAAGCTAGACGACGTTCTGCAATTGGTGCCCGGGGCTCTCCTGAAACAAACCATTTGATTTGTTTCATTGCTCAGCAGCGGAATGCGAAGGATGCTAAGAAATCTCCTTTGGCACACAATTCCCCTTTTCAGGTATGGGTTGTCTCCAAGTTCTGTTGTGAACTCTTCTGGGGAAAATGCTTTGCAGTGATAATAAAGCTGTTGCACAGTCTTTCAGCCTTCTTGTGCATTAGATATGTTTTAGATCATTCTGTGTCGTAGCAAACAACATGTAAGAGGCATAGACGTTGACGTCAATTATGGATGTAACAAAGTTAATAAATCCCAGGTAGATGAGGCTTTCTAAAGGAATTTTTCATTTTACTTGGCAACATGTCAGGCGTGTTGAAGTCTGCTTTTTATCATGAGGAGAGACAGTCTATTCTTTCTTTTTAATCATTTTATTGGGGGTTCTTACAAATCTTATAGCAATCCATCCATCATTCAATTGTATTAAGCACACTTGTACATATGCTGACATCATCTTCAAAACATTTTCTTTCTACTTGAGCCCTTGGTCTGAGCTCCTCTTTCCCCTCCCTCCCTCCCTCCCTCACTCTCCCACCCTCATGAACCCTTGATAAATTATACATTTTATTATTGTCATATCTCAAATCATCCGCTGTCTCCCTTCACCCACTCTTCTATTGTTCATCCACCTGAGGGGGGCAGAGATGGTATACTTCCTTTTCTCCCTGCACCTTGCAAGACCCTACCCTCATGGTATTGCTACTCTCATTACTATTCCTAAGGGGTTAATCTGTCCTGGATTCTATGTGTCAAGAGCTCTTCTCTGTACCAGTGTACGTGCTCTGGTCTAGCTTGATTTGTAAGATTGAACTGGGGTCATGATAATGGGGATGTGGTGGGGGCCTGGGAAGAATTAAAGAACTAGAGGATTGTTGTGTGTTTCATCGGAGCTATACTGCACTCTGGCTGACTTATCCCTTCCCTGTGACCCTTTTGTGAGGGGATGCCCATTATCTACATATAGGCTTTGGGTCTTCACTCCAGCTCTCCTCGTTCACATTGATATGATTCTTTGTTTTGGATCTTCTGATACCTGATCCTGTAGACTCCTTGTGATCACACAGGCTGGGGTGTGTCCATGTGGGCTTTGTTGCTTCCCTGCTAGATGGCCGCTTGTTTAACTACAAGCCTTTAAGACCCCAGATGCTATATCTTGTAATAGCTGGGCACCATCAGCTTTTTTCACCACATTTGCTTATGCACCTATTTTGTCTTCAGTGATCGTGTCAGGAAGATGAGCATCACAGAATGCCAGGTTGTTAGAACAAAATGTTCTTGTGTTGAGGGAGGTCTTAAGTAGAGGCCCAGTGTCTATCTACTACCTTAATATTTAACATATAAATACATGTACATAGACCTATATCCCTACCGTTATATACAAATATATTTACATATGTACATGGCTGTTTTTATACCTCTATAGATGTCTTTTGCCTCCTAGTTGTTTCCTTATTTTCTTTTACTTTCCTGCTGTCCTATTATGTTTGACATTCTTTCACTTCTCAGTAATTCCTATCAGCTACATTGCACTTGATCAAACCCCACCAGGAATTCTATACCCTCCTTGCTGTTGATTTTAGATCACTTGCTGTTCCCTTGTCCCTGGGTTTCTTGGCTCCCTTTCCCTTTTCCTCTACTTCCCCCTCTGCCCTGTCCCCCCAGAACCATCGGTCCCACTGTTTTTTTCTAGGGATTGTTTGTTCTGCCTATCTTATATAGATAGACATATCTAATACTTTTATGTCAACATTGAGTTTGGGTGCAAGGTCAAGGATTTCCCCCAGGACAAACTGAATTACTTGTTTGCTCATAGAACATATATTTTTTTCAAAATAGTGCATATCACTAAAAAGTCATATAGTAAGTAGTACGAGACTTTACTAAAGAAGTTCCCATCTTACCCTTCTTGATGGACAAATGCTTTAGATTTTTTAATATTTTTTTTGTATTGGCCTTTATTCTGTTTAGATGCTCTCTATTTATAAAGTTGTGTAATGGTGCTGTGGTTGTCCCAGTTGGTCTGATGACTTGGGCGAGTCCCTGAGTGCTTGTTAGCCGGTCCGTGAGGTCAAAACTACTTCTGTGATAACACTAGGACACTATTTGCCCTCTTTTACTGAGTTGCTCTATGTACTCATGGTGCCCAAAGTAGAAAGACCTCTGGGCCCAATAAGGTGACCAGATTTTAACATTGGTAAAGCGGGACACCATTGATAAAACTCATATCCTGGCGAAATAGCCACATGGCAGTCCGAAAACTGTATACCGTAGCTTGTTGTGCAGTCTTTCCAAAAATCGGGAAAAATTGTTAAAAATCGGACTGCCCCGCCAAAAGCGGGACGTCCGGTCACCTTACCCTGAATCCAAGCAGTGGCACCAAGCTGTCATTATTTGTTTTTTTCTGCCTATGGAGTCGCTATGAGTCAGAATTGACTCAGTGGCAGTGAAGTTTGGTGCGTGTTCACAAGAAAATAATAGTAATAAACCCCCTAAGAACCCTCTCGATAAAGCAATGACGCTTACACATTTTATTACGCCTCAACCCGTGATGAGATCGGAGTAGGAACTGCGTATGGCCCTGCAGAAGGGCCCGGCAAAGTGTGGTGTGGAGGGGGTGGTTAGAGCTGCTTGCTCAACTAGTCCCCTCTTTTTTTCTTTTTCTTTTATGAACGTTTTACTAGAGAAAACAACAGCTGGGTGAATCATGGCTATTCCCACTTAGAAACTTGACAAGATGTTTACACAAAAAAGAACTTGGTAAACCTGCCACTTAAAGGGGGAAAAACTCTTACTAATGAGAGATGTTGTACTTTCAAGATAGTTAGGATTTTAGAAAGCAGATGTCTTAGTTTCTTAGCTACTATAACAGAAATACCATAAGTAGGTGATTTAAAAGACGTAAAGGTATTTTCCCACAGGTGAAGACGCTACAAGTCTGAATTCAAGGTACTGACTTTAGGGTCAGGCTCTCTGTTGGTCTGGGGGAAGCTAAGAACCTTGTCTCAACATCTGTAGCCTCTGTTCCACTGGCATTTCTCCGCTTATTTCTGCTTCCTGCGGTGTCTAATCTGCTCTCTGTATTGTAGAGGTGATGAGGTTTAGGACACACCCTGCATTACCAGCAAAGTAAACCTTCCCAAATTAGATTATAATCAGGTATCGTTAGGAGCCCTCCAGTTGGTTCTGACTCGTTGACCCTATGTGCAACAGAACGAAGCTCTGCTCGGTCCTGTGCCAGCCTTACAATCGTGGTTTTTGATCCCTTTGTTGCAGCCACTGTGTCAACCCTTCCCCTTGGTGGCCTTCCTCTTTTTCACTGCCCTCTTGCTTTACCAAGCATGATGTCCTTCTCCAGGGACTGGTCTCGCCTGACAATATGTCTGAAGTCTTTGAGGTGAAGTCTCACCGTGCTGCTTTCTAAGGAGTATTCTGGCTGTATTCTAAGACTGAGTTGTTCAGTTGACAGTACTCAGTACTTTCAATATTCTTCTCCAACACCATAGTTCAATGCATTGATTCTTCTGCGGTCTTCCTTATTCATTGTGCAGCTTGCACATGCATACGAGGTGACTAGACATCCAGTGGTTTGGATCGTGGTATTTTGATAATAGGTAGTAAAATGTCTCAATATGTAGAAGCTCTGCATCACTCAGAAAGCCACTATTTTCCAATGGCCAATGCATGATGTTTCAAAAACATATACGAAGGGGCTTCAAAAGTTGGTGGGAAAATGGAGTTAAGAGATGAGGGTTCAATGATGAAGTTCAACATATGTACAAATGTGCTTGACACAATGGATGTATGTATTGTTATAAGAGTTAAGAGTCCCCAGTAGAATGATTTATTAAAATTAAAAACAGATGGTATAGAGCCAAGAACTTTTGAAGCCGTCTTATATGAGTACAATGTAGCTGGAAATTGAAGAATAGATCAATGACTTGAACAAAATATGAAAAGTTCATAGATGCACTTTCGTGTTTATGTTGTAATTAACCTTAAAAAAATCTTTGTTGACTTTTGGAGTAGCATTCGGAGAAGAATATCCATGATTCTAGAAAGAGTATTAAAATATTCCCCTTTTGAAATAGATATAGCTATATCCCATTGAGTCAACTTGGACTCATGGAGTCCCTGTATGGAAATGTTGCCTGGTGCTGTGTCGTGTGTAAGATGGCTGGCATGTTGGAATTCGTTGTGCTGTGGTTGTGTCAGTAGTCTGTCTTACTGGCCTGCTCTTTGACCAGATAAGTCCCTGTAAGATCGCTGTGAGTCAAAATTGACTCGATGGCAGTGAGTTTGATTTTGGTTGGAATGACATGTCAAAGGATGCCTGGTGTGGGTTTTGTGTTGGGCGGTGACCCACAAGGTCAGTAGTTTGATAACCACCAGCTGCTCTGGGATAATGATGAGGCTTTCTACGCCAGTAAAGATTTCCAGTGTCAGAAACCCACCACTCTGACTTCAGGGTGGTGTTATAAGTGGAAGTGACTTGATGGCAGTGAGTTTTGGGGTTGTGTTTGAATGACATGTCAGAGCGAGCAGATTGTGATCCATAAGGTGTTCACTGGCTAACTTTGTGAGCAGATGGCCGGCCGGGTCTGTCTTCCCAGTCTGCTTTTCAGTCTGGATGCCATCGCCTCTGGAGCCTGTGTGCCACTGGAAACCCTGCTGGTCTTTGAGAAACTAATTTTAGCCTTGTGTGGACTGGAGAGGAGAGTGAGACTGCTGAGACTCCACCTAGGTGTCCTAAGATTTACACTAAACAAATGCATCCTGCAAATAACTGTCATTGGATCCTTTTAGCACAACCTTTGGTAAAGTTTCAAAGTAGACCCTCTTGTCCCTTCTTCCTAACCCCAACTTTGGTATCTAATGTTTTCTTTTTTATATATAAATCATTTTATTGGGAGCTTTTACAAATCCGTAAGATCAATTGTATCAAGCACTTTAGTACATATGTTGCCATCATTTAAAAAACATTTTCTTTCTAATTGAGGTCTTCACTCGCTCCCCCACACTCTCACCCTCGTGACCCTTCGATAAATTATAGATTATTATTATTTTCCTATCTTACACCATCCACTGTCTCCCTTCACCTACGTTTCTGTTCATCTAGGGGCGGGGGTGGGGGGGTGGGGATACATCGATTATTGCGATTGGTTTCCCCCTTCTCCCCCACCTTCCTCCTACCCTCGTGGTATAGCTACTCCCATTCTTGTTCCTGAGGGGTTTATCTGTCCTGGATTCCATGTGTCGAGAGCTCTTATCTCCAGTGTATATTCTCTGGTCTAGCCGGATTTGTAAGGTTGAACTGGGGTCATGATAGTAGGGGGAGGAAGCATTAAAAACTAGAAGAATGTTGTATGTTTTGTCAATGCTATTACTGTACCCTGGGTGACTCATCCCTTCCTTGTGAACCTTCTGTAAGGGGATGTCGAATTATCTACAGATGGGCTTTGGTTCTCCACTCTGACCCCCCTCATTCACATCGATATGATTGTTTTGGGGGGCTAAACACTTTTTAAAGGTGGTTTCAACCAAATTCTGACTTCTTTTAGTATGATCCATGAAATCATTTGGTATCAGTATTAACCATCAGCCATTCCTCTTTGCTCGAGTTTTGCTGAAAACCTTAGATGAGCAGAGGAGAGAGCGAATGAAATGGAAAATGAGTAGTTCACAGAAGAGGCGTTCCACTAAATTGTTACCTCTGATCTTCACAAAGGAGCCCTAGTGGCATAGAATGCTGCTCATTGGGCTGCTAACCGCAGGGTCAGCAGTTCAAAACCACCAGCTGCTCCTCAGGACAAAGGTGAAACTTTTACTCCCATGAGGAGTTTACAGTCTCCGAAACCCACAGAGTCCATTCTTCTGTGCCCTGTGGGGTCACTGTGAGTCAGACTGACTTGATGGCAGCGAGTTTGGCTTTTTTGGATCTTCACAAAGCATTTGTCTTTAGTTTGGGATTCAGAGTCTGGGAACTATGCGTGGATTGCTTTATATGCTTTATATGTCTTGACTGTGCTTTTAACAGGGAAGTCCTGTGCTCTATCGAAATGCTAATTCCTTAAGAGAGCGAATATCTGCCTTCCAGTCAGCTTTTCACTCCGTAAAAGAACAGGAGAACATGGATGATGGTCCTGAGTCCTCAGAGGCAGAGAGGGAGCGCAAGGCCACAGACATCAGTGAGTAGAAAGATTGCTGCCAAATTTAACTTCCGTGTTTTTGCAGAGAAACTCCTGAGATGCAACAAAAGATTTTAGTTCCAAGTGTCAAAATGTGAAGTTGCAAATCAATTGTATGAAGTATCTTTCCTTGGAACCTAACATTTAAAATTTTGGGATGTTTTCATACAAAAATACGGAATCTTAGTTTTTCTTGATTTAAAAAAATTCCCATGTGGTTGCACTTTTGAAATTTCAAATTTGGAGCTGAATACCTCATTTCTGATTTGGGAACTTTGAATTTTACACGTGTCAAGCATTTACAAGGGGTGCTTCAAAAGTTTGTGTGAGAATTCCATTATCTTTCATTTAAATTCCAAACCCTGCTATTAAAATGAGTATATATTAAGGCTGAATTTTAATCATGGTCCACATTTTTATTATAACATGTAGCTAGTAATGCTTTTTTTCTTCTATATTTCTGAATAATGAAGCACCTGAAACATTAGAATTAAGCAATGTCTTGGTATTAGCTGTGATCATCACAAACATTCCTCTGGGGCTTTATACTCCCGATTTTAAAGACGTGATGTCAGAATCCAAATGATTTTGCCTTGACTTTTTAACAACATCTTCAAATCTCCATTTCTCAAACATTTTTGTGTGCAGTGCATTGTTAGCCTGACACACCTTGCACCATCTAGTGAGATATACTGGTTTATTTTCAGTTCTTATCTGGCTTTTAAGATAAATTATTGTCTATACACTGTTATTGTGTTTTTCAGAGAATTAACTACCTTTTTGAATAGAAAGTGGAGGCACGTTGTGATTGTTGCTTTCATAAAATCATGCCGATATAGAGCAGGGGTGAGAGCATATGCACACCCTTTAAAAGGTTTAAGATAGAAATGTTAAATATAAATTTAAAATACAATGATAAATACCATGTGAAGTGGAAATGTGTGTAGTGTATTTTACACATTTCAGGGTCTGCAAATCTAAAATCTATCTAGTATTCATATTTGTTATACTCGTTTAGCTACCTGGGGTAGTCACATTCTCTTTTCAGTGAGATTTTGTTTTTGAATACCAAAATCACTAGGATACTCTTTTTGAATATAAAAGGACTGGGCACTAACATTAGAATGTAAAAGTTTTAAAGTGGTATTGAGAAGGAAAACTGCATGCCCACCTCTGTTCTGTTTCGTATATATAGTCGAAAGAGAAGGTCTTCGTGAATGGCAGCAGTCTGGATTCTCTGTGAAGTCACCAGCCAAACGTCAGAGGGTCTCTTATCAGAGCAACCTGAATGAGAATCTGGCTGATGCTGAAAAAATAGGAATTAATCTTCAGTTATTCAACACTGATGCTTCTTCTGGTACAGACAGACCGTGCACTGTTGGAACTTCGCCTGCTGAGCTATCTGAGGTAACCCACTTATTTAAAACCTAGGGAAGGAAAGTGTGGGTTTTCTGTTTTATTGGCTTTTAAGGCTCCAGGATGGGTTTCTCAATGATATGAGTGCAAATTGCCATACTGAACTCGTGTATAAGTAGTGTTTGAAGTTACATGGGAGTGGGGCAGTTCCCAATTAAAAAAAGAAAGAAAAAAGCTGCTGGGCAGAGCTTTCATAGTATGCATTTTTCCTGCTAGGCTAGCATCAAGCAGCTCTCTTTGAGTTAGTGCACCCAGTGACGCTTGTTTCCTGGGGAGGTTCTCTGGTTACAGAGAATTTTTTTATAAAAGCACTTTCATTCAAACCTCGTTTTCTGTGATGGCCAATTTAAGAGAACAGTGTGTGGCTGTGAAATTTTGTTTTCTTCTTGGAAAAAATGCCGAAGGAACTGCAGTGATGTTGAACACCGCTTATAAGGACAGCACTATGGGAAAAACTCAAGTGTACGAGTGGAGTGGTTTTCTCATTTCAAAAATGGTGAAATGTCCATTGATTTCAAACCTTGTTCTGGATGTCCCTCAACTTCCTGAGTGGGCAAATATGTCAACTTAGAGTGCATTTGGAGTTTGTTCCACCATGTCAGATTAATCGAGCTGTCTATTTAGAGGTTCTGAAAAGGTTGTCTAACAGTGTATTTTTATCAAAGCCTGATTTGTGGCAGACAGGACTGGTTTTGCCACCACAACAATGAACTGTTCACACTGTCATCTCAGTGCGTCAGTTTTTGGCAAAAACCAACATGCCTCTCTTGCCCCATGCACATTACTCCCCTGAGCCCTGACCTTGCTCCAAGCAACTTTTTGTTTCTGTGAATGAAAAGGGACATGAGGACAGTGATTTGACCACTTAGAAGAGGTGAGGGAAAAAACCGAGGGAGGTGCTGTCAGCCATCCAAACCGATGAGCTTGAGCAATGGGTCCAAGAATGGAATCACCGATTTGACAGATGTAGTAAGTGTAATGGAGAATACTTTGAAGGTGATCCGGTTGCTTTGTAGAAAAAATTTAAATACATAGCTTTAAAAAAAATCGTGGGCTTTTTTGGGTACCCCTTGTATATGTGTGTGTGTTTCTTATATCTTAATGTTGCTGGCTGATATCATTGGTTATTAGTCGCAGTTTTTACAAGTTAAAAACATTAAGCCTTTAGAGATATGTTTGCGCATAATTAACTGCTTAATGCCTTAACCAATATGAATTTCACAGTTTGGAGGAGAACAAAGTTAAGGATCTGGAGCCTTCCCCAAATTATAAATGGGGAGCTAGTTCTGTTTTTCCGTGCCTGACATTCCTGGTTCATTCTCTTGGTTTGGGGTTCATGGGCTAGCTTCCCATTTCTGTACTAGTGAAAGGAGGCAGTGCCATTCGGAGTTGGACCTCCTCCTACACTTTATCTGTTATATAGAAGCAATTATTGAATTCTCTTGGATTGGCCTAATAAATGTTTGATAGCCATTCAAGGTTCTTTGGAGTTAGATTTTATTTCTATTTCAGAGTTGCCTATAGTCTGCTCCCTCTACTTTATTTAAGATAATGTAGCATCATTAAAAGAAGTAATAGCAATTAATGATTATTGGTACTTTGATTACTTCTTGGCTATAAGCCATGAATTAGAACTGATTTCTAAATATTAATGTTTCCTATGCTGACCCATTAGACACTCCCTTCATTGCACTGACATGATTAGGTTTCAGAGACTGTCAGTTTTTGAAAATTGGTGTATGAGAAAATAGAGGAAGACCACATCAGAATACAAAATGCAAGATGACTGCATCATTACACACCTGCCAGATTTCATCGTTACATAACTGACAAATCACTGAGAATCGTGGCCCAACCAAGATCACATGTAACTGAATCATACTGTCAGGACGACATGGACCTATCATTCATACTGTCAGACACAAGTGGCTAATACAGAGTTTTGGGTTTTGTTTTTTTTTAAGATCCTTTTATTGGGGGCTCTTACAGCTCTTATAACAATCTAAATCACTTGTATCAAGCATATTTGTACATATATGGCCATCATTATTTTCTAAACATTTACATTCTATTTGGGCCCTTGGAGTCAGGTTAGATAATAGATTTTTTTACTACTGTTATAGACATAAAATGTGTGAGATAGTCAATAAGTGAGAAGTAGGTATAATTTTTTCCTATCCTAACTGCTGACATCTTTGTTGTTTTGTTAGTAATTACATCCCTTGCCCATTAGCTGCTCCACAAAGAAAGATGAAGTTGGATGTCCTTGTGAAGACTTACAGCCTCGGAAACTCTCTGTAGGGTCACTAAGGGTTGGCATCGACTTGATGATGGGAGTTGGGTTTTTCCCCCTTTACTTTAGTTTTATCTTCAGAGGATAGTAGTTCATGCTTTTGGGCTTCACAGAGCAACAAGAGGTATATTTTATATTTGGGGGGTGCGTGGGAATTGTTTGTGTAGGGTGCTTGGGGTGTAATTATAAGTTATTATGTAAAATGCTCTTGTTAGATCTCTGCATATTTTCATAGTAATTAGCAAGGTGGTGAACAATGAATGATTGATTTAATACTAGATTCCACCCCCAACAAGGTTATTGGTTGGCCTTACTTAAATTTTATGAAAGTATCAGTAGTAATATAAATAATATGAAGTAATACTATTTACTCTCTCTCCGCCTGCCCCCACCCCCCACCCCCTCTCCAAGAAATCTGGACCTGGTATAATGCAGTCTAGCTGTTTAGTTGAAGAGCCTGTTCCACTTTTAGGCCTCAGCGAGGTTTCATGTGGTAAGTACTTAATTCTTCCTTAGTTTACCCACGAAAGCATGCATTTGGGTGACTTTTGTGGTTGATGTACCTATATGATAAAATTTGGTAACGCTAAAGTGAACAAAATGTTCTTATTTTTTAGGAGCTCTCATGGGCTAGTAGAAATAAATGGTTTGAAATTATTATTATCTGAGATAACAACATTTTCATTTTTGAACCAGTTCCAAGAAGCCTTAGTAACATGTTTTCACGTGTTAGCGAAATGCCACTCGTGCTGTTTTAGGCTTGGCGGTGTAGTGGCTATGCATTGGGCTGTATTCCGAGTGGTCAGTAATTCAAAACTGCCGGCAGCTCAAGGGAGAAAGAGACTGGGCTTTTCTATCCCTGTAAATAGTTGGAGTCTCAAAAACCCACAGGGGTCACTGTGAGTCAGCATTGACTCGAGAGCAGGACGCTGGTTTTGTAGAAGTGCGTCGGAAGCAAATGTCGTCCTCACACCACTAATACCCCCTGCATCTCTGGTCAAGCGGATTCTCTGCTTTTTCAATAGATTCTCAGTGTTCATTCATTGTGGGCTAGTGGTCATCGACGCCGCCCTTTTCACAATGGTGTATCTGAGCTGTCTCCTTATCTTTCTAAATGGTTAGCTTTTCCAATTAACTGAAATATCCACTACTATATTTCAACGTAGACTCGTTGGACTGAGGGATTCCTTCCAGCCATAACCACATCTCTTTGGTATGTTCTGAAGCACTACGTGAGAGCACAGAGCCGCTGTGCTCTGTCTACTTGGTGAAAATAGCTCCCAAGAGGCATTAGGAAACCACCACTTGCCGCTCCGTCGCCATCTCCAGAGGAGTTCTCGGTCTCTTCCTCTCCTTGGTGCTTCAGCTGCGCTGTAGACCGTGGTGATGCCCTCCTTTATACGAAGCACTGAGACGTTGTAGGTCCTGGTGTTCCCTGTGCCGCTTGTATATTTCATTGTTCCCCTTTTCTCTGGACCTTTAAACATTTGAATGCAGGACCACTCCCACCCTTTCCCCATCAGGTTTCGTGCTTAGACCTTTTTTCCATATGTGATTTTAACATTCTTAAAATCATTGATAGGCTGTTGACTTCAAAATTGAAATATCTACCTTCGATCTCTTCCCTAAACTTAAAATACCCATATTTACTTCCTTCCAATTTTATCACATGTGTAAATACATGTGATCATATCATACTCAAGACAGAACAGTTCCGTCACAAAGCTCCCTTTTGTAGCCATAGCTATCTCCCCCTTCTCCATACTCTCCTTTGCTTTATTTTATGTGTTTAGTTTTTTGGGGTAATTCTCGAGTCTCCAGCACCTTGTACAGTGTCACACGGTAGGTGCCAGGCACTTGTTAAATGAAGCAGTCGTTCAAAGGCAGTGCTCCCTTGTGCCAAAGAATTGGTTTTGGGAAGTGTGGGCGTAGAGGGTATTAATCTTTGGGTTAATAGTCTTCACCATCCCCTCCACCCTCACCCCTTCTCTTCTTGGGGGCTCAAATGCCTCTGACTGCAACAGTAAAATTGGTCATGCTTCAGTGCTTAGCTCAGTTTAGTTTCATGGTATAAGTAGTCAGTTTCATATGAATAGGGGCAGACTATGTGTACGGCTGGTTCTTAGATGCCTTGCTGTAATCTCTGACCCAGATTTCCCTGGGAATCCTAAATCCCTTGCATTCTTTTATTCTGAGTAGTTAGATTTGAATTTCAAAGTGTGACCAGCATCACTTCTCTTCTTTTTCTTTTTTTAATCGTTTTATTAGGGGCTCATACAACTCTTATCACAATCCATACATACCCTGTTTACATGAAAATAAGACAGTGTCATATTAATTTTTGCTCCCAAAGATGAGTTAGGTCTTATTTTCAGGGGATGGCCTATTTTTCCACGAAGACGGATACGGTACACATTTATTGTTGAACAATAAAAAAGGAAATGTATTACCTGTATACGGTACTGCAGTAGTTGTCATCACAAACCAGCATAACCAGACAAACTGAATCCTACAGTATCAAGAATTTCTTGTTACTACCATTATTTCCATGTACAACAATCTATGGTATGTTTACTCATTTATTCAATGACAGTCATGTCATCATCTTCTGGAACATCATCATAACAATCCAAACCCTTATTTTCATGGAGGTCTTATTTTCGGGGGGGATGCCTTATATTTCAGCGAGAGGCAAAACTGTAAGTAGGTCTTATTTTGGGGGGATGTCTTACTTTTGGGGAAACAGGGTACATCAATTGTGTAAAGCATATTTGTACATTCATTGCCGTCATCGTTCTCAAAATATTTGCTCTCCACTTAAGCCCCTGACATCCGCTCCTCATTTTTCCTCCCTCCGCTCCCCCCTCCCTCATGAACCCTGGAGAATTTATAAATTATTATTTGGTTATATCTTGCCCTGTCTGACATCTCCCTTCACTCACTTCTCTGTTGTCCGCCCCCAGGGAGGAGGTCACATGTAGATCCTTGTAATCGGTTCCCCCTGTCCACCCCACTTTCCCTCCACCCTCCCAGTATCGCCACTCACACCACTTGTCCTGAAGGGATCATCCGTCCTGCATTTCCTGAGTTTCCAGTTCCTGGCTGTACCAGTGTACATCCTCTGGTCTAGCCAGACTTGCAAGGTAGAATTGGGATCATGATAGTGGGGGAGGAGGAAGCATTTAGGAACTAGAGGAAAGTAGTATGTTTCATCGTTGCTACATCGCACCCTGACTGGCTCCTCTCCTTCCAGAGACCCTTCTGTAAGGGGATCTCCAGTGGCCTGCAAATGGACTTTGGGTCTTCACTCCGCACTCCCCTCCTCATTCACTATGATACGATTTTTTTGTTCTGATGATACCTAATACCTGATCCCTTCGACACCTCGTGATCGCACTGGCTGGTATGCTTGTTCCATGTGGGCTTTGTTACTTCTGAGCTAGATGGCCGCTTGTTTGCCTTTAAGACCCCAGACACTATATCTTTTGATAGCCCGGCACCGTCAGCTTTCTTCACCACATTTGTTTATACACCCACTTTGTCTTCAGCGGTTGTGTCGGGAAGGTGAGCATCATAGAATGCCAATTTAATAGAAGAATGTATTCTTGCATTGAGGGTGTACTTGAGTGGAGACCCAATGTCCTTCTGCTACCTTAATACAAAACCTATAAATATATGCACATAGTTCTATATCCCCATGCTCATATATAAATATATTTACATATGTACATGTCTTTATTTAGACCTCTTTAAATGCCCTTTGTCTCCTAGCTCTTTCCTCTTTATTTCCTTTGACTTTCCTCTTGTCCCACTATCATGATCAGTCTTCATTTGGGTTTCAGTAATTCCTCTTGGTTACATTACCCTTGATCTCATCTTACCAGGCCTTCTACACCCTCCTCACCACCGATTTGGATCACTTCTTCCCTTGTCCCTGGGTTTGTTACCACTACTACCTTTCCCCCCACCTCCCCCTCTCCCATATCCCCCTGGAACTGTTGGTCCCGTTGTTTTCTCCTCCAGATTGTTCATCCAGCATATTTTATTTAGATAGACCTGCGGAGATAATAACATGCACAAAAACAAGACAGAGCAAAACCAAGCAACAATATACAAAACAACAATAACAAACCAATGACAAAGAAACAAAACAAAAGACAAGAAAGAAAAGCTTGTAGTTAAGTTACTTCAAGGACTGTGTGTTGGCCTTTAGGAGTGTTTTCTAGTCCAATCTGTTGGGGCACAACGCCCTGGTCTCAAAGTCCACCTTCAGCATTCCCTGAGGACCTCGCCACTCTGTTCCCTTGCTGTTCTGCTACACCCTCTTAGTGTTTGCCTTGGTGTGGTGGGATCAGATCCGCTGTTGTCCACTGTAGGGCTATGGGTCAGTGAGGGACGTCATGTCTCATAGTGGGGCCGGCCATGTGGTCCTCTGTGGACTGTTTGCTCTAATCGGGGAACATCATCCTCAAGACCTGGTGGGCCAGGATGTGCTCCACTCTCTCCTCCTTCCCCTTCATCTGCTCCCGTGTGCTCCGATCAGCTATGCCCCTTCCTGGAGCTGCAGATTCCATGCTGTCCTCTGAAATAAATTCTTCTTGTGGGGAGGGGCAGGTAGCCACATAGTAGCTGGGTTTGGGGCCAGCCCCTCATACCTCTCCATTGGTTCCCTACACCACGCCGGAATCTCTTCTTTTTCTAAGTGAAATCCTAAGTGGTATTCTTAAGCAGGACACATCAGGCCTAAATTTCATAGCAGCATATTAGTATCATTGCAGAAAATGTTTTCATCTGGAATGGACTGAACTGAAAATCTTTGACCTCTTGTGATTCTGTGTCCATTTGGAAGGAATCCAGGTTGCTGACTGTGTCAAAGACCAAAGAACAAGTGCCGCTGTTTCCCAGAGAACCTGGCTAGGGGGTGCATTGCCTGAAGCAGCGAGCGTAGACCCAGTTCCTGCCGACGAGTCACCAGCTACTTCAGTGAGTGAGAAGGATGCTCTGTCCTCCCAGACCTTTGTGCTTCGCTCTGTCCTGAAGAAACCTTCTGTGAAGCTATTTCTTGAAAGCTTACAGGTGTGTATCAAGCTGCATTTCCAAAACATTGCATAAATACCCATTTTGCTTCAGAGCAATATATCTGAAATGCTACAGGCCATAATTCTGTTAAGGAAATAGCTCATCTTTGCTTCTCATTTATAGGGATTGTTTCTTTTGGTCATTTTTCCTTTTGAACTCAGTATCCTACACAGTGTCCAGAATTGTATATAGGTGTAGTTTATTGTAAAGAGCTTATGATTACTAATGTATTGATTTATTTCCACTCAGAATATTTGGTTTCAGAAATGCATTCCCCAATTCACCTATTTTCCCCCAGTCTCGCTTTTTTCTTTAAGTCAGTGGTTCTCAACCTGTAGGTCTCAACACCTTTTGGGGTCGAACGACCATTTCACAATGGTCACCCGATTCATAACAGTAGCCAAATTATAGTTATGAAGTAGCAACGGAAATAATTTTATGGTTTGGGGGGCAACACAATATGAGGACCTGTATGAAAGGGTCACAGCATTAGGAGGGTTGAGAACCACTGCTCTGAGCTCCATTAGTAGAGGGAAGCAGTCCACTGGGGGAAGCTGGTGTTTATTGGCTGCTTTCCATTTGACTGTCTGGAGTCTCCTGCCTTTTTTAACTTATTTATCCCTACCAGTGGCCCTCTAAGAATATTTTCAACCACAGAGTCTGTAAGCATTGGCTTGCAGGTTATTGAATGTACCAGATAGATATGATGTTAAAATTCATGACTGAAATTCATGAAAGGTTAAGAGTAAATGCTCTGGAATCAGAGGAGTCTGCTCACTTTGTCAAGGAAGGCAACACAGGCTGTTCAGTGGTCGCGGGAGTGCTCTGGTTTTCCCATCTGTGCAAGACTTGACCGCCACCATGTCGAACAAAACAAAGCCCAAGACCACCAAGAAGGACCCCCAGTGCACAACATCTACTATGTTTGCTGTGTTGGCTAGTCACAGATGTCTTCAACATGGTTGCTCAGAATAGGGATGGCTTCATCGATGGGGAGACCAGTATGATTTGCCTGCCCCCCTGCGAAACAACCCACCTGATGCATTTGGACCCCAGGATGAAAGACATCCACAGGTCCCATCGGTTTCACAATGGTCCTTATGATGTTTGGGAGAAGCTATATGGGACC